TCTGCTTGCTTTCCCAGGCCACAAGCAGGGAGCTGGATCGAATTAGGGTGGTTGGGCTGTCACGGTGGCCTAGCGGCTAAAGTCCTCACCTTGAACACACCAGGATCCCATATGGGCATCAGTTTTAATCCCGGCAACTCCACTACCCATTTAACTCCCTGCCTGTGGCCTGGGAAAGCAGTCGAGGATGGCCCAAAGCCTTGGGATCCTGCACCCGCGTGGAAGACCTGGAAGAATTTCCTGGCTCCTGGCTTCAGATCGGCACAGCACCAGCAGTTGAGGTCACTTGGGGAGTGAATCCTCAGACAGAAGATCTTCCTCTCTGTCTCTCCTCCTCTCTGTATATCTGACTTTGCAATAAAAAAGAAATAAATCTTTAAAAAAAAAAAAAAGAGAGAAATTAGAGCAGTCAGGACACAAACCAGTGCCCACTTGGATCAGATCGTTTTAGTACCAGCTATTGCAGCCACTTGGGAAGTGAACCAGTGGATCAAAGATCTTTTTCTCTGTCTGTCCTTCTCTCTGTAAGTCTGGCTTTCCAATAACAAGAAAATAAATCTTATTTAAAAAATTTATTGGGAATCGCACAATGGCTCAATTGGTTAATTTTCCCCCTTCAAGCGCTGGAATCCTATATGGGCACTGGTTCATATCTCAGATGCTCCACTTCCAATCCAGCTTCCTGCTTAAGGCCTGGGATAGGCAGTGGAGGATGGCCCAAGACCTTGGAACTCTGTTCCCCACATTGGAGACCCAGAAGAAGCCCCTGGTTCCTGGCTTCATATGATCTCAGTTTTGGCCTTTTTGGCCATTTGGAAAGTGAACCTGCAGTAGAAAATCTTTCTCTCAGTGTCTCTCCTTCTTTCTGTAAATTTGTCTTTCCAATAAAAATAAATAATTTTTTTTAAAAAAAGGGTATTTAAAAAAGAAGAAGAAGAACTTAAGGGCCTGACACTGTAGCCTAGTAGCTAAAGTCCTCACCATGCACATGCCAGTATCCCATATGGATGCCGGTTCTAATCCTGGCTGTTCCACTTCCCATCCAGCTTCCTGCTTGAGGTCTGGGAAAGTAGTTGAGGATGGCCCAAAGTCTTGGCATCCTGCACTTGTATGGGAGACCCAAAACAGGCTCCTTGTTCCTGGCTTCAGATTGGTTCAGCTCAGTTCACACCATTGTGGCCGCTTGGGGAGTGAATCAACAGATGGAAGATCTTCCTCTCTGTCTCTCCTCCTTTTTGTATACCTGACTTTCCAATAAAAAGATAAGGTAAAAAATAAAAGAACGAGGAGCTAAACCAATTTTGAGGGAAAAAAAATGAAGTGGGAGGACCCAGTGGACATGATTTCAAAATATAATATACGAACTAGCCTGTGGAAATATGGCAATAAAAGAAGTTTGTTTTATCAGAAAAAATCCATTCATAGTTTTTTTCTTTCATAATATGCATTTCCATGTACTTTGCTTTTATTTAATCCTTTTTATAAGAGCTTTATGTATTTGAAAGGCAGAAAGACACAATGGGGAGAGACAGAGATCTTCCACATGCTGCTTCACTCTCCAAATGGCTGCAAGGACCAGCTGGACCAGGCAAAACCCCGGAGTCAGGAGCTTCCTTTGGATCTCCCACGTGGGTGCACAGGCCTAAGCACTTGGGCCATCTTTTGCTTTCCCCAGGCTGTTATCAGGGAGCTAGATCAGAAGCGGAGTAGATGGAACTTGAACTGGCGCCTATATGATATGCTAGCCTTATAGATAGCAGCTTTACCTGTTCCACCACAAAGCCATCCATCCACAAACTTTATATAGATCCTTCATCTGTATTTTCAAAACATCTTTTCTAAAGAGAACTGGAAGCAGATCCAAATGATTTTTGACAAAGTTGCAAATGCAGCCCTTTCAAAAAATAGTGCTGGAACTATCTGACACCATCGGCAAGACAAAAGAAGCAAAACATAAAACTCAAAACCTGTACCCAGGGTCACAGGCTTCAGTGACACATGTTATAGATCTTATATGTAATGCATAGGAGAAAATGCAAAGAATTGCTTGACTTGGCTCCAAAACATGATCCATAAAAGGAGAAATTGAGAACCTGGATTTTGTCAACAGAAAAAGCTTTTCTTTTGTGCAAGACCCTGGCAGGTAGATCCCCAGACTGGCTATTGACCGAGAGAAGATGTTTGCAAATCACAAATCCTGGAAAGGACTGATGTCTGGGATACATAGAAAACTCTCAGCATTCAACAGTGGAAAAGCAAATCATTGCTGAAGTAGATACGGAGAGAACAAACTGGCCCTGGAAGTCATGGTTCACATCAGAGCCATTTGGCAAATGCCAACAGAAGCCACAGTGACACTTAAAGTGGGAGAGGGGATGGGAAGCAACAAGTGTGAGGTGAGGCTGGTGGGCTTGGGAAATTGTGTGGCTACTCCAGTTAAAAACAAAACAACAACAACAAAAAACGAGGGACTAGTGTGATGGCATAGTTAGCTGATCCAATGGATATGCCGCCATTTTTGTTCAAGCTACTCCACTTCTGATGCAGCTATCTGCATATGGCCTGGGAAGTTAGTGGAGGATGGTCCAAGTTCTTGAGTCCCTGCACCACATGGGAGACCTGGAGGAAACTCCTGGATTTGAATTGTTTCAACTCTGGCTGTTATGAGCATTTGGAGAGTGAATCAGTGGGTGGAAGAGATTTCTCTGTTTCCTCTTCTCTCTGTAAATCTGCCTTTCCAATAAAATAAATAAAATCTTTAAAACAAAAACAAAACAACACATACCTATACGCACAAAACCAGTAATTGCCCTGATAGACATGTACCACAGAAAATGAAGACTTACGGTTCCCAAGTAGGAAAAGAAGCTAAAAATCAAAGAAACAATGACCAGAGACAAATAAATAAAATAACCCCTAAAGATTCCATACTTGGGATCCCAGTCATATCACATTATTGAAAAGACAACTGCATAGAAATGCAGAGCAGGGGGCTCAGTGCTGTAGCCTAGTGACTAAAGTCCTCGCCTTGCACGCATAGGAATCCCGTATGAGCACTGGTTCTAATCCTGGTGGTCCCACTTCCCATCCAGCTCCCTGTTTATGGTCTGGGGAATCAATAGAGGATGGCCCAAAGCCTTGGGACCCTGCACCTCTGTGGGAAACCCGGAAGAAGCTCCTGGCTTGTGTTTTGGATTGGCTCAGCTCTGGCTATTGCAGCCACTTGAGTGAACTAGCAGAAGGAAGATCTTTCTCTGTCTCTTCTTCTCTCTGTAAATATGATTTTCCAGTAAAAATAAATAAATCTTAAAAGAGAGAGAGAGAGAGAGAGAGAGAGAAATGCAGAGCAGGCTAGTGGCTGCTTGGGCTAGTGAGAAGATTCCAGTGGGAGCGGGGAGTGAGGGTGGTGACCATCTGGATCCAGATGTTGCCACAGTTGATTCCCTGGGCAAGGTGCTCTCAGAATCTGTATGTATGTTCTGTGGCTTCATGGAAACTTCCATGCTTTTCATCCAACTGAAGTTTTTTTTTTTAAGATTTATTTTGTCTTTATTGGAAAGTCAAACAAAGAGAAGAGAGAGAAAGATCTTCCATCTGCTGTTTCAGTCCCCAAGTGGCCACAACAGTTGGAGCTGAGCTGATCCTCCGGATCCCATATGGGTGCAGAGTCCCAAGGCTTTGGGCCATCCTTGACTGCTTTCCCAGGCTACAAACTGGGAGCTAGATGGGAACTGGAGCAGACTGGATGCTCACCGAAGCCCACATGGGATCCCAGTGCATGCAAGGCAAGGATTTTAGCCTGAAGTGAAGGTTTTTAGGTGACAATGGTGCAGCTGGAGAGTGGAGTGGGTAAAAATTAAGAGATTGACAGAAGGAAGACTTTTGGGAAATCCCTGGACTTAAAAAGACGCCTGTGCTTTGTCAAAACTGGTCAGTGTTGTTGGCCCAAAGGCCTGCAGAAGCTTCTGGCAGCATAGGGGTCATGTCACTGGAACAGGCACTGGAGGCTTTATGGGCTGTGGGTTGAAACAAAGCAGGTGGGGTCAAGTTTGGCAGATGCTTGGGGAGGTCAGAAGGTCGGGGTGGGGTGGGCAGCCCCCTCCTCCTGTGGAAGTCCGGCTGGAAACTTAGGCTCCTCCCCATGTCCTGTCCCTGGCCTTGACGTGGCCCCTTAGAAAGAAGCTTCCTGGGCAGGGCTAAGGCCAACCATCTGGGAGGCTGAGGGAAGGACCTACCGGGGGTTTTGGTTGCTCTGAGAACGCTGCAGGAGGGTAGGATGTGGAGGGCACTTATCAGTCATCTGGGTGCCTGCTCTCCACTGTGATCTAAAGCCTGGCTCACAAACCTCAGCCTGAATTGGAATCATCTAGGGGTCTGTCAAAACCCGGATTTTTACTTGTAGTTAGTCTGGCGTTGAACAAGGAATTTTCATTTCTAACAAGCTTCAAGGTGCTGCCCACATACCTGGCCCAGGGAACACGCTTTGAGAAGCGCAGAGAGGTGAGGCAGGAGGCCTGGCACAGGCCTGGGGTTGGGGGCGAAGGGGTTGTGGTTCCTGGAGGGTACTGGATGTGGAGGTGGTGGGGGAATGGCTGAGCTGGCGGACCCGGGAGCGGTGTGGGCAGCGGGGTAGAAGTCACAGGTGTGTGGTGATTTCTGAAGGAACTGGGCAAGGGGTGAGGTTTGATATGGGGCGCAGTTCTCACAGGCTGAACGGCCATGGAAAATTGGGCTTTGGAGCCAGGGAGGCTCCATGGGGTTGAACCGCCGTTTCCGAAGGGCTGATACCCCAGAGGAAGCAGGTGTCCCGCGGCTCGGAGGAATACGGCGGGGGCGGTTCCGGGTTGCATGGCGGGGCGGAGCCGCGGGCCCAGGGCCGGGGAGCGAGCGCAACCGAGCCCCAGCCGGAGCCGGAGCCCGAACCCCGCGGCCGCACCTCCCTCGCCGTCCCCGCCCGGAATCTCGCACTGCCGCCGCCCTGCCGCCCCCGCCGGCCGCGCCGTGACCCGGGCATGAGCCTGCCCTGCTGCCCGTCGAGCAAACGCCCCCGGCCCGGGCCTCGACGCCCAGGTAAATAGAGAGGGGGTGGTGCGAGAAGGCGGGCGGGGTCTGAACCTCGTCGAGCCGGGAAGACCCTCATTCATCCCCCGCCTCCCGATGCTGTGAGCCTCGCAAACCTCAGGCCTTCTGCTCAGGGTGGAGGGGGAAGCTTATGGGTCCGTTCTCGGACTCCTCACCCTGACGCCGGCACCACGGCCGCAAAACTCCCCTGGAGCTCGTCCGGCCCCCAGCCCTTCCCTTGGGCCGGCCCGGCTCTCACACCCTCGGAGGTGCTGCCGTGGCTGGCGCCTGCCATCCCAAAAGGGCAGAGGCCAGCCACGGCAGCACCCACCCTCCTCCTGGCTACCTTGTGTATCCACTTCCTCCAAGTCCTCCAGACATGATTTTTTTCCCACCCCGCTGTCTCTTGGTGACCATCCCCGCCTAGTGGAGCACCCGCCCTTATAGCCAGCTTGCCTGTTGGCCTTGACCCTCGAGATTGTTGTCCTTCCTTGCATACCCCAAGCAGGGCCATGGTCCAAGTGTCATTTTGTTCTGTCCCTGCAAACCTGAGGCTGAACACCTGGATGGAGTGGCAGAACAGGACTCATGTACGGTCTCCCTGAGCCATCGAGGCTTGGATCCTGGGGCCTGGGGAAAGGAGCTAGGTCAGCCCAGCAGGTCACAGCACAGCAGCTAGCAACTAGCAGCGGCTGGGTGTGCTTAGTCCTCATTCTTTCCTGGTCCCTTCTAAAGGGCCGAACAGGACTTCAGCACAGGCTAGTGGGTGTGAGTTCCGAGAGAGCTGTGTGGCTTCTCACCTGTGGCTGGCTTCTTTGGGTTGCTTCCTCCTAGCCCTTCCCTTTCAGGCGGGGTGACAGGGCTGGGCACGACCTCGCCTGACAACCCCAGGCACCAGGCCAGACCTGGATGCAATAGTAGCAATGTGTTCTCTGCTGTGTCGGCCCTGAACCAGTCTATGGGTCTGGATCCGGCTGCTTCTCCAGTAACAAGAGTTTCCTGACTCTAAGGGCACCGGGACCAGGGAGCCTGCCACTGCTCACACTACCTGTGGAAGCAGGGCTGGACTAGGCTAGGTGGATGTTGGTGATGGTGGGGGAGGAGGGGGTTAGGCGGACAGGTATGGAGAGAGCTGTGCACCTGCCATAGTAACTTACACAGAAAAGGCCAGTAGGGTGCTGGGTGGCTGGGTTGTAAACAGAGGAAGGTGCAAGGAAATCCCACAGCACTGTGTGTGGCAGATACTGCATGCTGTGAGAGAGGTTAACTGGTTGGAGTAGTCATGGAAGGCCTCTCTGAGGAGGCAGTCTTTGTGCTGAAACCCAAATGGAGTAAAGGAATGAACCCTGAGACTGTGTGGAAGGAGCAGTGTTATAGGTGGGAGCCAGCACATGTTGTGGCCTTGTGTGGGAAGGAAGTTGGCATCTTGGAGTGGAGGCAGGGATGGGGTGAGAACTCAGTGGTATGGCACCACCTCCGTGCTGGCCTGAGGATCTGGGTGTTGGGGGGGAGGACCATAGCTACTCCTGCCCAGCAGGGTCTGTCTGCCACCTATACTCACCACAGGATAAAACCCACAGATTCACGGGGAGCGGGCGGGGGACAACCCTTGTAGGGATTTGCTGGGGCACTCCTTGCTGGGTCTTGATAACAATCAGCCAGGACTGGGAAAAGTCCCAGAGAAACCTGAGATAGCATCTCCGCTGTGGGGCAGACAGGCAGATGACAGCCCCGATGGTGCCCAGGCAAGGCTGTCCCAGAAGCCCTGATAAGATCCCAGCCAGCGCTGCCATTGGTCACCAGCCTCAGTGAGTAGTGTTTGTTCTGGAGCCAAAGCCCTGGGGCAGAACCAAGTGTAGGGAAGGCAGGCTCTGCCCATGGGAAGATGTGCAGGAGGCTGGCCCCACCATTCTGCACCCCCCTCCCCCATTGTGCACCTGTCCTGGAGCCTGTGCTAGCCTGGCCCAGGGTAGGTTGTGTCTGTGGATGAGCGTGACTGTGCTAATGCCAGACTGGGAGGAGGTGATTGGGGGTGAGGCTGGGGAGCCTGGCCTCCCCTCAGCAGAGTCTTGGCAGGGAACTTGGGACACCTTGCTTAATGCTTCTGGGTACTGGGGAGTGACCTGGGCCACAAGTCCTCTCAGGCTCCTGGGCGTCCATCCCTGGCTGCAGGACTGACAGGCTGGGGATGGCCCATGGGCGCTGGTGAGGGTGTGGATGCCATGGCCCTGTGACTGGCCTGCTTCACCCTCTCTGTCTCAGTGCCCCTCTTGGTGAGCGCCATGCAGTCCCTCTGGTGGATGCTCTGGGTTGCTGTCCTTGACGTCCATTACCTGTCAGGTTTGTGGGTCCACCTGTTGGCCCCTCCCTCCCTTCTCCCACTGATTGTCCTACTCCGTCTCACTCCCCACATACCATTTTGGGTCCCAGATTGGGGCTCACTCTTGGAAATCTGTATTTGGGCTGGAGTTTGACCAGGAGTTCCTGTGAATCAGGGCCAGAGGAAGCTGCTAGGACTCTGCCCCTAGGATGCTCAGCTGGTGGATTTCTGTGGGATGGATTCTAGAGCTAGGGGCAAGGGCATGTGCAGCAGGAGCCCTCCTGTGAAGTTGGTGGTCATGGGCACTCAGCAGGAGCCAGCAAGAGCAGTTTTTGCTGGGCAGGTGCTTGTGGGTGGTCTCATGGCCCTGACTGGGCAGCAGTCCTTGGGCAGGTGACGGGTTGAGGGGAAGTGTAAAAACATCCCTCCTGGTTTTCAAGACAGAAGCTCTGGGCCCCGAGAGGTCAAGCAGTTGCTTCATGGACTCATTTGCTTCCTTATAGCAGGTGGATTTAGCCTCCTTTTTTTTTTTTTTTTTAAATGTTGGGGAAATGAAAAGCCCGAGAGGGAAAAGGGCATGCCCAGGGCTGAGCAGCCAGCTGTACTCACACTCTTGGCTGCATCACATCCCAGTCGCCTTGGATGAACCCTATAGCTGGGATAAATGTGTTCTGAAAGGGGCCTCCCTCATGGGGGGCCAGCAGCCAGTGGCTGGCCTTGCAGGGGGATGGACAGAACTGGGCACATTGAGCACGGTGTGCGTCGAGCCCAGGTGTGTGTGGCCAGGCTGTGGGGCAAAGAGGCTGGATGCTTGCATGGCACAAGGGTCTGGGCCCCAGGGAGCTGGGGGTGAGGAAATGTGTGGGCAGGGTGGGGGTGGTGCGCTGAGGTGCCATCAGGGCAGGCATGGTTGCAAGAACAGTGTCCCCCCAGCCCTTCCCTTGATTTCTGTATGCCACTCGGGTAGACCCATCTGTTCAGTTAGGGACACAGCAGACAGGCTTCTTAGAAATTAATTAATGCCAAGCGGTGGGCACATCCAGCAGAATGCCTGCCCCGGGGCCCTTTCCTGGTAGCACAGATGCCTAGCTGGCCCCAAACATGCTGCTCCCTTCTCACTCAGTGATGTTGGAGCCTTAGGGGGGAGGCAAGTGTCCACACAGCCCTGCCTGCCTGCCCCTAAGGCTGTATGGCATAGAAGGCAAATGTGTTGGCGGGCAGCCAGAGGTGGCTTAAGATGTTCCAGCCCAGCCTGACCTCCGGCACCCGCCCTAGAATGGGTCTCATTCATCCTTGGCTGTAACGCTGAGCTTGCTGTGTGGCCTTAGCCAGGAGGCTTGCCCTCTCTGGGCAACTTCCTGTTCCCATCAGCAAAATATAGTAGCTGGGGTCACAGGCTTAGATTCAGGCAGATTTGGAGCCACACTCCCAGCTTCCTCTAAGTCTCTCCACCCCTCTCTGCTGTGTTGTCTGGGCTGTGTCCCGTGCCCCAGGCCCTGGCTACTTCTCCCTGTAATTAACCCCTGCCTCCCCCCACCTCTACTCCATGTAGTGTCAGGACCAGGAGGGAACCCTAGTGCCAGCCGAGTTCTCCCAGCTCCTGGGGCAGGAGAGGTACCTGCCTCCACAGTGGCCACTTCCAGCCGGCCCAGCACATTCCCCAGCCTTATCTAGAGGCCCGCCCTGCTGCCTTGCTGGACTCTGCCCTCTCTCCCACCCAGGAAGCTGCAGCTGAGAATTCCAGGCGCAGGCAGCAGGGTGGGCTGGAGGGAGTTGGGTCTCAGCGGCTCTGGGGTGATGAGAAGCAGGTATAACTGGGGTGGGGTTGGAGGGGAGGGACAAGGAGGCAAGTGGGCTTTAACTCTAGAGAACCCAGGGTTTATTAAGCCCACCCCTCTGTCTGGGCTGTCTCCTAGAACTGCCTTTACTGGGAATGCTCCTGTTCCCTGGGGCAAGGAGCCGGGGGTGGGGTGTGTGCCTTGTGGTGGTCCCTGAGTTGTAATAGGAGGATTGGGCCAAGGCCAAATGCCCAGGGACAGCAGTTTCTGTGCCCCAGCCAGGGTCTCTGGCCAGCCACACCCCCCTCCTTCCTTCACCCCCACTTCCATGGCAGGGGAGCTGAAGCCAGTCTTCCCAGGAAGGGGTTAACCTCCAGTCCCAGCCATGAGGGAGGGGACTGGGCTGGACCATTTTCCTGCTGCTGCTGCTGCTGCCAATGCTGCTGCTGCCTCCTCCACCTCAGGTTTTCCTGAATGGTTCTGCCGTCCTGGGGTGGGGAGGGAAGGGAAGGAAGGAGGGCAAGGCGGAGGGAGGGAGGGTGGGAGGGAGGAGTGTGGGAAGAGGAAGGGAAAAAGAGAGGAGCCAGCGAGGGGAAGAGAAAGATGTCACTGTGTCTAATCTCCCTGTCATTTGTATTTCCAGCAGGCGCCTGGCGCAGGAGCTGCTAGAACAATGCTGAGGCGGGTGAGGTGAGGAGGTGAACAGCGGCCCCCGACGGACAGGTGATCCCTGGGAGCCGGAGGCAGAACTGGAGCCCGGGCCACCTGGGTCCCCTCCCCTCCCCTGGGCCAACCGGGTACCCCAGAGCCCGTAAGGCAGCCATGGCGACCAATTTCAATGATATCGTCAAACAAGGCTACGTGAAGATGAAGAGCAGGAAGCTGGGGGTGAGCGACCCTCCCGGATGGCGGGAAGTGGGGGCAGGGGAACAGTCCCAGCTGGGGCTGGGAGCCCAAGGGCCCCGGCTGGAGGCTTCAGGCATCGTGTGTCTTTGCTCTCCAGGCTTGTCACCAGCTGGTTGCCTGGCATGTGCCCTGGGCCAGGCTTTTGCCTGTTGTAGCTCCCCACAGTACGGGCTGGCCTCCCAGCCACGAGCCAGCTGTGGTTGTGGCCGCTGGACAGGCGGCTCCTGGCTATTGTTGAAGTTGTCACCTCCACAGCTGTAGCAGGAGCACCAGGCGGAGCCGAGAGCTGCTTCTCACTTCTCCTGGTTTCCTCCCCTTGGTCTCTCCCCTCTCCTGCTCCCACATCCCCTGGCCTCTTTTCTTTGAAGTCCATCCTCTGTGCTTGCCTCTGCCTGCTTTCTGTCCTGGCTATACAGCTATCAGTAGCAGCAGTGGCAGTGGGGGTAGCTGGTGGGTTTCAGCAAGGGAGGAGGAGGAAAGGAAGAAGGCTGGACTGGGCTGGGCTGGGCTGGGCTGGACTGGGCTGGGCTGGGCTGGGCTGGGCTGGGCTGGGCTGGGCTGGGCCGGGCTGGGCAGGGCCAGGGTAGAGAAGCTGGGAGCTGCTGTGGGTTGTAAATGAGAACTTAACACATAAATGTTCGCTGCTCTGGGATGGACTGCTTTTGTCCAAGTTGGTGCCGGTGGCTGCATGTTTGCCTGGTGCTTGGCCCAAACTGACAGTAAACACAGCTGGAAGGACCATGGACAGGAAGCTTCAAGGGGCGTGGGATCCTCCATACCCCTGCAGGCCCCTGCCCCGGTGGCGACACTATCAGAAGACATGAGCAAAGTCCTTGGTGTACCACCTTCATGATCATGGGAGAGGTTACCTAAGAACTGCCTCAGTCTCCTTGTTGCCCCTTCCCCAACCCACATTCCTTCAAGCAGGATCTGCCAGCTGCTCCCCCCAGTTCCCTAGCAGGCAGGAAGCTCTGGTAACTGGGGAGCCCCACCTCTTGCTGTTCCCCAGGACTTCTTCCTGCCTCACAGGGGTATGGAGTTGAGTTACCCTGCCCAGGTGCTCCTGGCTTAGCCCCAGCGGGTTGGGGAGAGGTACCCTACCTAGGCACCATTCCCAGGGCCTCCAAATTTTTTTTTTTTTTTTTTTTTTTTGCCTTCTCCCCTCACCTGGCCCCAAGGGCCCCTGAGGGTGCTGCTACCAGGCCTGGACAGCTGCCTCACCTGATGTGGCCCAGGGCTGAACTGTTGGGCATTGAAATTTGTGGCCCATCTTTCTGATGGAAACTGGGTGCAGCCATCAGCCATGTTGCTCTTCTAGGGAGGGATTCAGTCCACTGACCCGGATCACACAAGTAACGCTGAGACTGAGGTCTGGGGGCCAACGGGCCAGCAGGGACCCTCCATGTTCCCAGATCTGGCAAGGCTTGGGGGCCACAAGGGAGCCACCGGGGCTCAGTTTCAGATCTGCTCCAGGAGATCTGGGAACCCCAGGTGGGCAGGTGGGCACAAGTGCTGTGGAGAGGGGTTGGACAGTGGGGTGTGGTCAAGCCTGGTCTGGGGCTGGGGCATTTCAGCTTCCATTGCAGACTTGAGCCTCCCATCTCTGCTGTGCTGGGACCAGCCATCCTTCTTTCGGCCCTCAGAGATAAGGGGAAGGGGCAGCCAGCTGTCAGGCGCCCACCCTTCTACCTGCCAGGGCCTTCCCCATGGCAGTGTTTCTGAAGTGCTGATCAAAGACCTGTGAGAAGGAGGGCTCTCCAGTGCTGGCTCCCTGGGGCTATGAGTGTATCCTGTAACCAGGCAACCAGGGCACAGTACTCCTCCCCACCCCGCCCCTTCTGCCCCTGACTCCATGGAGCCCAGCCAGGGAGCTTGCATCTGGGCCAGCAGCTTCATTTATCCACCTGTCCATTCACGGTCCCTTCCTGTAGTCCTTCCCTTGAATGTGGCTACCGGGATAGGAGTGAGATTCTGAGAATCAAATTGTCCTTGCCTTAAAAAGGAGCTGTGCAGCTGATAGCTTGAGGGTCTCTGGTGCAGAGGCTGGAGTGTGAGCCAGGGCAAGGGGTTTGGGCAGATATGCCTCCTCAGGTTCTAGACAGGAACCAGAAACTCCCGAGCTCTAGGGGGGCTTCTTTGTCTGAGGACTGCCTGGTTCACAGTGTCCATGACCCTGACTGGCAGTGACATGGGGGCACCATGGTAGAGTGGGTGAGGCAAGGAGAGGAGTGTAGAAGCCCCAGTGGCTCAGCTCTGGGCTGCCTCTATGCCCTACTGTTGGTCAGTGAGAAAAATACCAGAGCTGCCTGGGGAAGGGCTCTGCCATTGAAAGGGGTGAGTAACGTGGTTACCAATACAACCATTCATCCATTCATCTGTACATTCACCTATCCTTCCATCCATCTGCCCACCCACCCACTCATCCTTCTACCCATCCATTTATCCACTTCACTCTGACAGAGGGCTGGGTCACAGAAGAATCAGCAACTCAGATAGGTGGCTGGATGAGACTGCAAGGTGGCAGAGGCCAGTTTAGCCCTCCAGCTCTAGAGCATGGTCAGTCATCACTCTCTTCCCCTTTCAGCCACTGATTGCTTCTCAGGAGTCTGCGAAGCCCTGAAGAATTGGTTTAAAGCTAGGATGTAGGCAGGAACAGGGAGGGACTGTCCTGGGAAGGCACTTTGTGGCTGGGTAGCCTTGGGTTCTTTGTCCTGCCTCTTTTCCTCCCCCCTGGAACTGGGAAACCACCCCAGCCCCTGCACTCTAGGGCTGGTGCAAGAGGGAAGAAGGTGATCCCAGCTCCTGGAGACAGCAGCAAGAGCAAGGGTTCGGTGATGCCCAGGCTGGAGAATGGGCAAGGGGCTTCCCTGGCCTCCCCTGTTGTGCCTGGCACTGCAGGGGCCCTGGCCAGAAGGTCCCATGCAGTGAGTGGAGTGCCACGATCTTGTCTGGGTCCCAGACACTGTACCATTAATTGTTATTTTGGTACCTCACTTTTTTTAAGCTTAATTTTTGATGATGTTTACATAGTTGATCAGGGTGGAAAGGATCCAGGGTTAGGGAAAAGTGAGTGTGATCATTGTTTACAAGTTTTCTGTTTCTTCTTCCTGTTTCTGGGGGAAGAAGGGAGACAAGGGGAGAAGCCACATCCAGCGTCCCAACTGCCTAGTACCCTGGAGATGGGGGATGGGGAATGGCCACCTGCTATCAACCTAGGATCCTGGTGTGGCACATGCTCCAAGGATTCTGCCCAGGTGGTTTTGATAGGTCTAATGCTGTTGATCTCACTGATCCAAGGATGAGGAAACCTTTCCAATGTCCATTGGCTGACACAGTCAACCTTACAATCCCCATTGCCCAGATTTTTGCTCTCATTGTTTGGTTGGGGTAGTTGTCCAATTTGTTCTGTTCTTCTTCTTTGGTCTGGTACCTTATTTTTACCATCTGTAGAATGGTAATGGTAATAGCACTGACCTCAAGAGTAACCCTGGGACTGGGACTTGATTGACTCAGTAAATGCTGGCTACTCACATTCAACTTGAAGTAGTGTCCACAGTTGGTGGTGACTCAGGAGTGCTCCCTTGGCGGAATAGCTGCTCAGAGCCTGCCTGGCAGTGACCGTCTCTCCCCTTGGCAGTCCTGCTGGTGACGGGCTCACTGCCCCCTGTAGCAGGCATAAAGAACTGCAGAGCTGGAGTGGGAGTAGTCTAGGGAGGCCTGATTGCCCTTGGTCTGCTCCCTCCAGATCTACCGGAGGTGCTGGCTGGTGTTCCGGAAGTCTTCCAGCAAGGGGCCCCAGCGGCTAGAAAAGTATCCAGATGAGAAGTCGGTGTGTCTCCGAGGTTGCCCCAAGGTGAGAGGCCCGGGCAGGCAAAGATGGTTTGCTTAGGGACGGGGATGCATGGGAAGGAGCCCCAGCCTGGCTGAGGCCCCTATGGATGTTGTACTAGGTGACTGAAATCAGCAACGTCAAGTGTGTCACGAGGCTCCCCAAGGAGACCAAGAGGCAGGCAGTGGCCATCATATTCACCGACGACTCGGCACGTACCTTCACCTGTGACTCAGGTGAGGTGCTGGATATCCCCCTCTGGCAGGCAGAGGCAGAGTAGGGCTAACCCTGGCTGGAGGTGGGGCTGTGTCTGCGTTGCTAGGCGTGGTCCCATACAAGGCAGGGCTCTTGGCTGTGGCAGAAGGGACAGGCTGCAGGCGGACCCTGGCAGCATGATGAGGTGCTGTTCTTCTCCAGAGCTGGAGGCTGAGGAATGGTATAAGACGCTGTCTGTGGAGTGTTTGGGGTCCCGGCTCAATGATATCAGTCTGGGAGAGCCCGACCTCCTGGCCCCAGGGGTGCAGTGTGAGCAGACAGGTAAGGCAAGGTCCTGGCTCTGGGCTTGGGGGCAGGGCTGCCATAGGGGAGAGGCTCTCTCTGAGGCCCCACCTTGGCTGCCTGCTGCAGACCGCTTCAATGTCTTCCTGCTGCCCTGCCCTAACTTGGATGTGTATGGCGAGTGCAAGCTGCAGATCACCCACGAGAACATCTACCTCTGGGACATACACAACCCCCGTGTGAAGCTCGTCTCGTGGCCGCTCTGCTCACTGCGCCGCTATGGCCGGGATGCTACACGGTTCACCTTTGAGGCCGGCCGGTAGGACTTCCCCGCATGGTCATGATGCTGGCTGCCCCATGAGGACTGTCATAGTCCTACTTGACAGATGAGGAAATCGGGGCTCAGAGAAGTCACACCAAGCAGGCAGGCTATGTGAAGCTATTTCGGAGGGAGTGGGAAGTGAGGGTTTGTCCTAGAGCTTAAGGCACCCATGTCCTCACTGTACCTGGGTTCCAGTCTTGGGCCAGGCTGCTGACTCCAGCTGCCTGCTAACCTGGAGCCTGGGAGGGTGTGGTGATGGATCAAGTAATTGTATTCCTGCCACCCCTGTAGGAGATCTTGACTGAGTACCTGGCCCCTAGCTTTGGCCTGGCCCAGTTTTGGCCGATGTGAGCATTTGGGGAGTAGATCAGCAGATAGTTATTTTATTTCATTATTCTCTCTGTCCCTTACACTGTTTTTCTGCCTCTCAGATTTAAAAAAGAAACTACTTGTGTTTAGCACTTACTAGGTGTGTGACAGTGGATCAGCACCCAGGAATGCAGAAAGTGCTGGCCTTCCAGAGCAGCTTGAGGCTAGGCAGCAGCCCTTAGCTGGGACCCTAGGGCCAGGTGGCTTTGACTTAAATTCTGTATAGTCCTCTGTATCAGCCTAAGTGTGTTTCTTAGCTCCCGGAAGCCTGTTTCCTTGTGTGTGAAATGGCTTGAGAAAAATGCTTAACGGTACAGCAACTATGAATAGTCACAGAGCAGAGGGGGTGGTGCGAACGGAATGGGTTGTTTGTTGGAAAGCAGTTGGGGCACCACTTGGCATGCTGCAAAGGCTCACCCGCCCACACCGTGGGCAGATACCCAGGCCATTCCCGGCCTGCCCAGAGGGAGGACCTGAGCTCCAATGCCTGCCTGACCAGGCTCGTGCCTGTGTGTGCCCATCTCCCCAGGATGTGTGATGCTGGGGAAGGGCTCTACACCTTCCAGACACAGGAGGGGGAGCAGATCTACCAGCGGGTGCACAGCGCCACCCTTGCCATTGCTGAGCAGCACAAGAGGGTCCTGCTGGAGATGGAGAAGAACGTGAGGGTGAGGTCTGGGGGAGGGCAGGCCTGGCACCTGCGGCTCCACCTGTGTCCCTAAGGCAAGCAGGTGGGAGCTTGGGCTGGCTGCCACCGTCCCCAGAGCTAACGGGAAGGCCCTGCCTCTACATTCCACAGATGCTGAACAAGGGCACGGAGCACTACTCGTACCCCTGCACGCCCACCACCATGCTGCCCCGCAGTGCCTACTGGCACCACATCACGGGTTCCCAGAACATTGCCGAGTCCTCCAGCTATGCCGGTGGGTTGCTGGCGAGTCCCGCACCCTGGGGAGAACGGGGCCTGCTTGCCCAAGAGCCTGCTGACTTGGATCTGAGTTCTGAGCCTGCTTCTATGCCCGTAGGTGAGGGGTACGGGACGGCCCAGGCCAGTTCCGAAACGGACCTCCTCAACAGATTCATCTTGCTAAAGCCAAAGTCTGGCCAGGGAGACAGCAGTGAGGCCAAGACCCCATCCCAGTGACGGCAGGGCTGGCACGCACCGACAGCTGCTGGGCGGCCCACCTCAGGGCCAGTCTCAAGGGACTGTTAGCCACGAGCCTAACAGGAGGGAGCAAGCTCTTCCCTGTTTGCCCCCCAAGAAGGGTGAGGCTGGGCCAAGGCAAGGGGCTGGCCACACCACCTGAGCATGTGTGAGGGGCTGGAGCTCCATGGGACTATATACTGTTAATGATTTTAATATATACGGCTTATGACATATTCTATATTAATGAGATTTCTCCCTTTGTCCCTTCCCGCCAACACATACAAGTTTTCTAATCCCGTGACCAGGCCATGGTCAAGGCTATTGTCAAGTAGGAGGACAGCAGTTATCCTGTCCTGTCCAGGGCTGGAGGGGACAATCAGAACTCAAGGCTAGCGCTGATGGCTGGCTTCTCCCATGCAGCTCAGGGGCCAGGATGGCAGTTGGCCTCTCCACTCCTCGGGCTTAGAGTGGCAGAGGACCTCAAGTTCCATTGTGCTGCTGGGCAGCCTTGTACTTGGGAGTTTTAAGCAGAGGTAGCATCTGCTTGGAAATGTAAGTTCAGTGTAGACTCCTCCCTGTGGTGCAGGCTGAAAAGGTGCCCTGGGGTGGGTGCTGGTGCTTATCCTGTCCCTGGGGGGCAGGGAGGGCACCCCAACAGAGGGAACCCTTGGTCCTGGGTGTGGCTGCTCTGTGGCCAGCCAGAAGCACTCAGAAACCAGCCCTTCCCCTGTCTTCCCCTTATGGTGCTGAGGCTCCCTGCTGAGATGCAATTAAAGCAATTGATTTTCTAGTGCTGGTATTTATTGACTACCGAGCAGAAGGGCTATCTTTTTATTCACATCAAACCTTCCGTTGTGTGAGGTGGGGTTTTATTTTTTGTTTCTTTTCATACTTTAGGGTTCTGATTTGTGGGACTAGACTTTCTTGTAAATAACCACTATTGAAGTTGAGGTGGGAGGGCGACAGGAAGCCTCTCCCAAGAGTCCTAGCGCCAGGGAGGGGCCCAGCACAGCTAGCTGAGCTCCTGATCCAGGCAGCAGCCGCCAGGGCCCAGCGGCCTTGGGGAGGGAGGCACAGCTGGCTGGCTCAGCTAGTGGCACGGTGACGCATGAAGGAGATTATGTTGTGCTCTTTATTGCCAAAAATAAAAACTTTTAAAAATACAATTTCTGTTAATCAATAACCCTTCCTTTCTGTAATGGAACTGTGGTTTTCTCCTGGCTGCCTAATTAGCTTGCACACAGTGCACCGCGTCAGGTTCAAGGCCTGAACTTTGACTACAGAGAAATACATGAGGTGCTCACTGCTCCTAGCCTGCCTTACCAAGCGATCAGGCCACCATTGGTTAAGTAGTTGGTCACCAACAAACATAAAACAGTCTGTTTATTTGCAGGGTCTAATGCTATGCCCAAATGGTGACTTCCCTAATTAGGGGCACCTGGAATTTGCAGGGTCAGTAGGCTGGCTGTGGGAAAAGGACAGGGTTACAGGCACACTGAATAAAGGTTCCAGCACCTAATTCTAACACCAACAGCCCAAGGTGCATCCATGAGCGAGCCTCCCCCTGCACAAGGGAGTTCATAGAGCTGGGAGAGGGCCAGCTCTTCACATGGACAGGCGAGCATGGATGCAGGATTCAGCAGACAGTTTGGGTCCTGGGTGGCAGGACTGGCCAAGGAAGGATGAACGTAAAGGAAACCAAGGCCCTGCCCAAGTCCAGTGATCTCTGGTCCTACACGACCACTCCCAGTTGTACTGGCACCCCCAACCACCTCACCCCCAAGAAATTCCAGCCATGGTAGTCCAGATCTCAGAGGGAGAGGAGCCTGAAATGCAGCTGAGGGTGGGGACCCCGGGTATCGAAGCAGGCAAGCTACAGCTAGTTGATGGTTAGCACATCACGCTGGATCTCGTGGCTCAACTGAGTCTGCAGATCACTTAGCTTCTTCTTCAGCCCGGAGAGTGCTGACAGCACGATGGTTTCGGGCCGCAGAGAGCCACAGGACTCCACGTTGTAGTAGAACCTAGATGGATCCAGTGACAGCCTTCACCAAGTGGCCTGCACAGCTTGTACTTCAGCTGTGGACCGTCTCCTCTCCCTCTGGCTCTGCTCTCTTCCCCACCCAGGAACTTGACTTTGTCCTAGGACTGACCTCCCTGCACATAAATGATATTGTGAAGGACCACAGAAAGATGGACCCTGAAACAGTCCTTGGTCTGAACTTCACACTGCGAGGCTGTGGGGAGGCTGGCAGGCAGAGACCACACATTGTGCTCCATACTCCTCACTATGGGGCCATGGTTAGGGTCAGCCCCTAGCAGTCAAGATGCCCACACTGCAGTGCCTCAGTTTAATTGCTGATTCCAAGTTCCAGCTTCCTGCTAATGCTCACTTTGGGAGACAGCAGTGATGGCTCAAGTACATGGGCTTCTGCACAGATGTGGGAGGCTAGCTAAGATCTAATTCCTGGCACCAGGCCTCCGCCCAGCTAGTCCTGGCTGTTGTAGCCATGGGAGATCTGGGTCTGCTTCTCAAATGTTATCGATACACAGATGTCTGTGCCTAGCTTGGTCCTGAAGTCTCTTTTGGGGCTACAAATGAGTGGTGAACAGCTAGGGAGGTGGAGAGGCCTGTTCTTATAGTGACCCAGAGGGGCACAGGCGCACAGCAAGGCTGTATTCAAGTGTTGGCATGCTCCATGTCTCCTCCCTACCCCCAGCTTATGCCAACTAGGACAGGACACAGCCTACTGCAGATCCGAGTTCTGAGACCCGTTCCCACATGCACGTGAGCACGTCTTACCTCTCTGGCTTGCCGTTGGGGTCGTAGGGAGCCTGGGACTCATCCTCGTCCAGCTCTGAGTACTCACTCTTGGGCCTAAGGTCAAGTACGGAGAAGCATGACTGCTGTGGCTACTCTGAAGGCAGCGAGTTCCTAGAATTCCTGCCCGTCTCTGTCCCCGTCAGTCACCTGTAGTTACCTCTCAGCCTGAACACCTGCCTCCACCTCGCCCAAAAGCTTACCATTCCTCGGGCTTGGGGTACACGGTGTGCCTCAGGGCATTATCTGGGTCGTATTCAAAAGCCACCCCTGCAGTGGGGTTCCACTTGGCATGTTCTTTGCCGAAGCCCTTTTTGGCGTAGGCTCGAAGCCTCAGCTCCTGGCCCTTTCTCAGCTTGACGATGAGGATGTCTGCAAGGAAAGCTATGAGTCAGCCAAGGGCTGGGCAGAGCGCAGTGATCTGAACATGGGCCCACAGTGCCTAGGGAGGTGACATGTGATGCAAACACAGGTCTGTAAAACCACTTTTCAGGGGCTGACACAATGGCTCAAGTGGCTAATCCTCCACCCTAAGCATGGGCATCCCATATGGATGCTGGTTCATGTCCTGGCTGCTCTATTTCCCATTCAGCTCCCTGCTTGTGGGACCTAGCAGCTGCGTGGGAGACCAGGAAAAAGTTCCTGGATCCTGGCTCAGCTTAGCTCAGGCTACTGTGGCCATTTGGGGAGTGAACCAGTGGACGGGAAAGCTTTCCCTTCAGCTCTTTATAAACCTGCCTTTCAAAAAAAAAAAAAAAAAGGAAGCCACTTTACAAGGAATCCGGCCAGCAGGACAGGCTGGGGCCTGTGCAGTGACAGGTCAGGAAGGTCCCTACTCCCCCACATCCCTTACCATCCTGCTCCACGTAGTCATTGGGGTCATTGTCCCGGTTCCGGGATGTCACCTGTAAGGAGCCCAAGCAGAGGCTGTGGTCAGCTGTGCATTTCAGCACCGAGGCTGCTGACTGTCCGAACAAGGAAGGGCCTTCTTCCTCCAACCCTGCCTCTGGAGTGGGGATGGCCTCCCCGAGGGCCCCCGCGTGACAGACCCCTTGGACACTCATACCCCACTTCAGCAGCCACTTCCTTTTTTACCCCACCAGCTGCTGCCCAAAAGGAACCAGCAGCAGACAGGGACAGGCCACATCTCCTCACGACCCACTGCCCTGGACACTGACCGGAATGACCCGAGGGCTGTTGGAGATGAGGTCTCGGGACGTCACGTGGCGGGTCTGATCTTCATTACAACGCACGTCGAGGGTGAACTCCACTGAGCACTCAGGGCAGAACTCTTCACAGGTGCAGTCCTGGGCAGGGGAGAGGTGGAGTGACCTCAGCAGAACCGGGACAGGGGTCTGCCCCAGGCTCTGTGCAACATCCCTCATTGACAGCACAGTCCGAGATGGCAGCGAGGTGCTAAGGAAAACTTCTGTGAGCCCTTGAGCCCCTTCCCCAGCATGCAATCTGGTCAGCCACGCAGCATACCCGAGAGTTCTGCAACTTGTCCACGATGTCGTCGCTAGTAAGAGGGATCAATCCTATGAGACACAGGAAACCACTTTTATCTAAGAGCCCCAAAGTCCCTCTGGGGGTGAAGGAGGCCTCCTCCTTTGAAGGCAGGCACAGCTCCCTCCTTCCAACACCCTCTCCAGCCCAGACCAGCACTCACCAAGCCTGTGGGCAATGAATTCATCATGAAGGACAGATGAATTGGCGTCGATCTGAACCCAGTCAATGGCTGCAACAGGTAGAAAGCAAGCAGAGTCGTAGTGAGGTTCTCACCAATGGCCACAGGGAAGACCCTAGGCCTGGCCACACAAGTGGGGGTGAGAGGAAGCTCCAGAATCTGCATCGACATGGCAACCACACAGCTGTTGTGCCCCACCTGCCTGCCCAGGTGCATTTCAAGCAAGGGCTGCACAACCCAGGTAGTGCTGACTGAGCAAGTACTATGGCCACAGGACCATGGCTCTCTGAGCTGCCGGCTCCTGTGAGAAGCAAATCCATCTGCTGTCCATGCCAATACCAGATATCCAGGGATCAGGCTGGTGAGATGGCTCAATTAGCTAATCCTCTACCTGAAAGTACCAGCACCCTGTATGGCACCAGTTTGTGTCCAGCTGTTCCAACTCCCATCCAGCTCCCTACTTGTGGCCTGGGAAGGCAGTAGCAGCAACAGAGGATGGTTCAAGTCCTTGGGCTCCTGAACCCATGTGCGAGACCCCGAGGGGGCTCCTGGCTTCAGACTGGCTCAGCGCCAACTGTTGAGGGCATTTGGGGAGTGAAGCAGTGGATGGAAGATCTAGCTTTCCGATTAGAATAAATCATTAAATATATATATCAGGAACACACATGATTTGGGTGGGCACTAACAAGCCAGAGAGATGCACAAAAACAATGCAGACTTCCAGGGAGACATACAAAAACAGCGTAGACTTCCAGCACACACCTCACGCTGTGACGCGATGACTGGCTCACCCAAATGAGTCTTTTCTTATTACTCAGCTGACAAATAGTTACTGATTTCCTTTATGGAAGAAGGCTCAAAGTCCTTGCCAGCCCTGAGCTGGCAAGAGGCTAAGGACTGTATGTATACACACACACACACACCTGATCTAAACTCACGTTTCACTTGTGTTAATAAGCCCAGAATTCAAATAGTCCTAGTGCCCAACTGTCAGGTGAGGGGTGTGGGCACTAGGAACAGAGGCCAAAAGAGCCCCATAGTCATGTCCCACCCCATGCTGCACAAGGACCAGGCCCCAGCTTCCCTGCCCCATCACACTTCCACCCTGCTCTGCCTCCTACCTTTCCCTTTCCCTTCCTCTAAGCTCCCTAAAGCCCAAGTCCGGCCTGCCCTTCAGGCTATACACCTGGGGTCACCCCTCCCCTCTCTTTATGTTTCCTCAACACCTGCAATATTTTGCTTGGTGTCCTAACTGTGTATCACCCTACCTCCAGCTTAGGGCAGGGCCTTGCGGTGTGGGGGTTCGGTACTAACTACAGAACTTGAAGTGGTCCGCAAAATGCTGCATCCTGACCCCTCGGTGCTGAGGCTCTGAGGCAGGACGCCACCAGGCACCCAAGCTGATTTAAGAAGCAACTGCAGGTGGAGGTGGCAGATACACCCTTGTTCTCCTCTTTCCCTACTATTTGGTGGATTTCATTTCCTTGAAAAGTCTAAACACTTAATGCTCCTGTGGTCATGATTTACCTTTTTTTTCTGAACTCTGAGCTGCCATGTGAGAAGTAGTCAGCACAGCCAGTGCAGCAAACACTGGGGCAGAGCAGCAAGAAACGGATCTTCCCACCTGTAGGTGCACTGCCTGGGTGCTGTCTGCGGGTTCCCCTGTCCCCTGCACTCTCTTTGTGAAGGCTCAGAGGATACAGTCCTGCTCTGAACAGCGGGGATACCCAGGAATCTCAAGCCTCGGGCACTTACGCCCTGCACACGACAAGACTCAGCAGGAAGTCATGGACCGGACTCTGATGTTCGCCATCAGCCCGGAGAGGGCCCAACAGGAGCCACGACAAACCCCGCAGCGCACCGCATTTGCGCATTTGCGCCCCCGGCACCCCCTGCTGAACCCAGGCTTCCCCGCACGGCTTCTGGAAGGCTGGGCGTTAAGCGGCTAGCAGGGCCGGTCTCCACTCCAACGCAGGGGGCGGCGGCACAGGCGGGCAGGGCCCTGCGGAGGGGCAGCTGGCAGTCCCGGCCAAGCGCCGTGCGACTCGCTTACCTATTATAGGCACCTCGGCGATGAAGACCCTCCGGATGGAATTGGCCACCCTGAAGGACGAAAAAAGCCAGCGGCGTTGAGAGTCCGGCGCCCCTCCTTCCCCAAAGCCCCAGCCCCGGGCGGCTCTGAAAGGGCACCCCCACCCCTTCCCTCGGCAGCCTTACGCCAGGTCAGTATTCTCGATGATGAATTTGACGTTCTCGTCCGTGAGCTCGGTGATGCGCACGGTGGGCTGATTGGCGTACGGCATGGCGAGCCTCCCGACCGCTCGGCCAGCCACCGGCTGCCCTCCTCTGCGCCTGCGCGGCTCTTCTACCGGAAGGCGGACGGCGCGGCGCCTCGCTACTTCCGCGAAGACGCACGAGCAGCGCCATCTGCTGGTCGGAGGTTGTCACTGCCCCGTGGCCAGCGTTTTCTGCCCACTCCTGTTTTAAACTTGCTCCAGGTTCCAGCACCTTGAGGGGAAGGTGATTTGGCAAACGTAATATGCCTTTGACTCAACAATAACGCTGCTAAGAATTCGTCCTGCCGAAATATTTACAATGTAAAGGTACATTCATGGCAGTACTGTTTGTAATAGCAAAAGATCAAAATTGGCCTAATGATAGAGACCTGGTTAAATACACAGAAACATTATGAAGCCTTCAGAAAGAAGGAAGCACGTTTGAACACCTTTAAAGTCAAATTTTAACAATGTGTGTCAGCTTCTAGTAAAGTATACTTGAACAATGGTGTATGTCTTTTTTTTAAAAGATTTTTTTTTTTTTTTTTTTTTACTGCGAAGTCAAATACACAGAGCGGAGGAGACAGAGAGGAAGATTTCCATCTGATGATTCACTCTCCAAGTGATAGCAACGGCTGGTGCTGCGCTGATCCAAAGCCAGGAGTCAGGAACTTCCTCCAGGTCTCCCACACGGGTGCAGGGTCCCAAGGCCTTGGGCCATCCTCGACTGCTTTCCCTGGCCACAAGCAGGGAGCTGGATGGGATGTGGAGCAGCCGGGATTAGAACCGGCGCCCATATGGGATTCTGGTATGTGTAAGACAAGGACTTTAGCTGCTAGGCTACCGCGCTGGGCCCAATGTATGTCCTTCTACCCACAAGTCTGAGTGGAAACTGCTGGGATGGACCAAAGCTCCTCAACATAAAGCATCATTCCGAGTCCAGTCTTTGCAGTGGGTCTAACAGCTCTTTACCTCTGCGTCACCTGTGTGTGCCACATGGTGTGTATACTCAAATAATACCAGTCTCCAAAACAGCCTCCTAAGGTTCAGCAGACTTTGGCAAATAGCAACTGCTCACAAGGTTCACCTTCACAAGGAGGAAGGGCACTCGAGGGTTCTAGCCCCAGTCTGGCCAGCTAATGAACTAACTATGGGCCTGATGCACCTGAGAAAAGCAGCAGCAGAAGTACAAGTCCTTGGCCCGTGCACCCACGTGGGAGACTCGGATGAAGCTCCTGAGTCCTGGCATTGGCTTGGTCTAGCTCCAGTCATTGCAGATATTTGGGGAGTTACCTAGCAGATGAAGATTTCTGCCTTTCCAAAAATAATTTTTGGATATTTATCTTTACTGGAAAGGCAGACCAGATTTATGGAGAGGCAAAAGAGAGAAGTATCCTCTGTGTGCTAGTCTACTCCCCGAATGGTCACAATGATTGGAGCTTAACCTATCCAAAATCAGGAGCCAGGAGCTTCCCCCAGGTCTCCCATGCGGGTACAGGGTCCCAAAGTCCTGGGCTGTCCTTCACTGCTTTTCCTAGGCCATACGTAGGGAGTTGGGTGGGAAACAGAACAGCTGGGACACAAACCAGCACCCACATAGGACTCTTGATTCCAAGGTGAGAATTTCGCCATTGAGCCGTTGCACCGGATCCCAAATAATAAATCTTAAAAAAAAAAATTATCTGCTGAGTTGTGTAATGGGTATGATGAAGGCTAAAGGAAAGAATGTGACGGAGCATGGGTGGCTACTGCAGGAAGTTTCCAGGGTGTTGATAACCAGAGAGGCGCACAGGAGGCCCCATGAAAAGCCCAGAGGGACTGGAGATCCACTTCTGACTCTCCATCAGTATTCAGCTGATGTGGGCAAGAAGGAGCAAAGCACAAAGCAGAGAGAAGTCAGGCAGATGACAAGGGAGCTCAGCCAGTGCACAGCCAGAGAAAATAATGGACTCAAACAATCTGCCCCTGAAATGGGACAGACAAGTGCAGCCAAGGGAATGAATGGTCTGAAAAGATCCTGCTGCCTCCATTTTATGACGAGAAGATCTGGGTCCACAGAGTTCTCCAATCACCCAGTAGCTTTTAGGTAGAACAGGACTAGAACTCGAGCCTCATCTACAACCCTGCCATTTCCCTCCTATCATAGTCCACTTGGAAATGAACTACATAAAACAAAAGTGCTGCAAACATATTTATTCTAATTTGTACAGACTTTAAATACTCTAACAATCCTGCAATCCGTGCTGATGTGATGTGACACCAGGCCTGGGACCACAGCTCTCCCCAGGCCAAGCATCACTGAACACCAGGAACCTGTCTCAGGTGAGGCAGCTGGCCGAGGGGGTCCCAGGAACGTCTCAGGATGCCTTGGTGAGCAGTGCCTGCACTGGGGGGTGCTGCCACCATCTGGTGACTTCTGGCCTTCACTCAGGCTTAGAGCCGCCCGCCAAGAGCATTTCTAGGAAGGTTAAGACGTGACGTGAGACCATGACGGGGACAAGCCGATTGAATGTCAATCACAGTCTCACTTCTCTAATCACCCTGCCTGGCAGCAGGGTGTCAGGCCTGACTGGGTGTCAGGAACCGAAGAGGCGACCCAATCCGGGGCCAGGGCCTGTCATCAGGTGCACTGTGGTTCCCAGGTGCTGCAGGGGGTTCCGGGAATTCTTCCAGGAGTCTCCATGAACACTCTCTTGGGTGGAAGGCATTTCATGCTCCCCACAGCCCTGCTCATCCACCCACTCACTTCCCTCCAGGCTCTTGAGCTTGTCCTTCCCTCACCGGCGCTGGTTTAGACCCGTCAAGTTCTTGAGCTGATACAGGGATGGAAACAGAGAGGTGAGGTTGTGCCTTAGGCCAGGAATCCAATGGGAGGGAGCAGGGTTTTCAAGGCAACAGCTGTGGCTATGGCGTCACAGCCTGGGCTCTCGGGATTTACAATGCATCTGGATGGCAGTGGGAAAATAAAGAGGTGGGACATGTGGGATCTGACCCAGGCTCAGGGTTACTAATAGCTGCCCACCATGTGAGGGCAGTGGCACATGCAGCAGCACTGCAAGGTGAGAATGGGTTGGGGGTGGGCAGGGATGAGCTGGACGGCACTCACCGTCACTGCAGCACCCATGAGTCCTTGCACCAGCGCCTCTCCTGTGGACTTCACCTAGAGAAAGACAGTCAGTGTCCCTTAAGGTCCCAACATGAGCTCAAAGGCGGGACAAATTGGAGTCAAGAGGGTCCTGTGTGCTGGAGAGCCCATGGATGTCCTGGCTATAAGCAAGGGTCTCAGGGAAGGGCTGGCTTAAGGGAGAACCATGCAGGGCAGGTGTCCAGGGAAGGGCGCCCTCTCCCCCAGACTGTTGGCTGAAGCCAATGCAAGGCAAAGCAGGAGGCCAGCTGTGGCCCACCAACAGTGTGCCTAGGAGGGTTCCAACGTGGCCAGCCCCCAGCTACCTGCTTAGCAGTGTGGCCCATGTTCATGGCATCGTTAATCCGGTTCTCCAGGAAGCGCCAAGTGTCCTCAAAGTCCGGGGAGGAGTCCTGCATCATCACCAGCTCCGTGGTGTTGTAGATGCCAGCCAGCACGGCCCGGCGTGTGTACCAGTTAAACTGCAAAATCATGCCCAGGGTACGTAGTTAGTAGCCACTGGCCCGGGTGCTTCAGGCTTTTAAAAAAAATTTCTGGGCCCGGCGCGGTGGCGCAAGTGGTTAAAGGTCCTCGCCTTGCACGCCCGGGATCCCATATGGGCGCCGGTTCTAATCCCGGCAGCCCCGCTTCCCTTCCAGCTCCCTGCCTGTGGCCTGGGAAAGCAGTCGAGGATGGCCCAAAGCTTTGGGACCCTGCACCCACGTGGGAGACCCGGAAGAGGCTCCTGGCTTCGGATCGGCATAGTATCGGCCCGTTGCGCTCACTTGGGGAGTGAATCATCGGACGGAAGATCTTCCTCTCTGTCTCTCCTCTGTGTATATCTGCCTTTCCAATGAAAAAATAATAAAAATAAATCTTTAAAAAAAAAAAAAAATTTCTTAAAAATTTTCTCTCCCAGCGGCCACAATGGCCGGAGCTGAGCCAATCCGAAGTCAGGAGCCAGGAATTTCGTCCAGGTCTCCCAGGCATGGCCGTGGCAGGCATTCAGAGAGTGAACCGGCCAAGGGAGCTCTTACTTTTTCAAAACTAGCTGGGAGATTCCGAATGCATGCTCTGGGCCTGGCCTCTGGGAGTCTGGTCAGTGGGGTGGAACACATGAGCACCAAATGAAACAGTGCTTTCCTGTCACTTCTGGGGCGGCCAACAAAAGCACCAAGTCTCAAGGCACCTGGGCCCCAGCAGGGCTGTGCTCAGCAGGTAGGACCACACGTTGGTGTGCTGCTCAGTGAAGTGAGGGCTGGGGCGGGAGTGTGCACAGAAACAGCACCCGGGTGCAATGAGGGCTTGACCTCTCAGCAGCTTCCACATGCCTGGCACGGCGCTCCTCAGAGGTCAGGCTCCGCAGCTCGCTGATTTCTAATTTGTTTCCTGCTGTCTCTGGATCTCCACTGGGAGGAAGTTTATTACAGCCCTTTGTTATTGCTGTGCTGAGAGCAGCCCAGCGCCCCCTCACCATGGAGTTCATCACTTCGCAATTTCTCTGGTGAAGGCAGACTTTTTACACTTCTGCCCACAAAAGTGAAGGCATTCATTAGGCAGAGCTTTCTCAGCATCTGTTTAAAGGGGCTTATTGATGTCTGTGAAGCATGTCAGGCTGGGGGGGGGGGGCTGTCCTGTCAAAGCAGGGGTGTCCCCAGGGCATTGTTTTCTCTCACTGCAGTCTAAGGAAGCCTGATGTGGAATCTGCACCTCTGACAGAGAGGAGACATGGCCACAGCAAGGGGCCCTGAGGCTTCCCTCAGGTCCCCAAAGCAGGCTTGGGGCCAGAACGCTGGTGCCTGGGGGAAGATGACCTGCATGCTACTCAGGCTGATGGAAGGACTTCACACTTCAGATGGCACCAATGCCACAGGCCCCCCCCCCCCCAAGGCACAGTGATCAAACAAATGTCACAAACTTATAGTGTTCCATGGGCTTGATGCAAGCACTTACATCAGTGGACTGGTCGCCAGCGTAATGCCACATATCATCCACCATGCTGGTGAGCAGGCTCAGGCTGGGTGGGATGTTGTGAGGGAGCAGCAGGATGCTGAGGGCCTGGGGACAGAGCGGCAGAGGAACAGGTCCAGCTGTGGGTAAGCACAGATGGAGGTGGCTGGCCTTACCTGGGAACCTGCCTGGCTCCAGTTTTCTGAGTCCCACTGTCTCCACCCACCATCTCCAACATCCCGGCAGCAGCAGCCCCTTCTGCGTACACCTGGCCCGACCACACAATCCATCCCTTGCACTTGGAATTGCAATGTAGACAGAAGAAGGGCTGCCCTGCCTAGGATTGCTATCAGCAAGGAGGAGAGAAGGCACCCATCCTCTGACACAGAGGACAAAGCAGAGACAGGAGCTAAGCTTGGGGGAACAAGTGCTCAGCCCCTGGCAAGCCCAGCAGCACTCCCTGATGTATCTTTGCGACATCACCATAAATGTCTCCCCTCCACCCCCATCCCCCCGTCCTTTTTTTTTCTTCATTGGTCTAGTTGACTTGTATTTCCTGAAACCAAAAATTCTTCAACTAACGCAAGTGATGGCCCAAAGCAGAGATCCTTCCCTTAGCTTTCCCAACAGGACATGGTCCAGCCATGTCCTGTGCCCTGGCTATGGCCTGTAGGAGGTAGACAGAAGTCCTGTACTGGCTGGGACATTCTCTTTTCAGGAAGCAGCCCAGAGGAAATGGCATGCTGAGCCTAGAAGGCAGTCCAGGGCCTACTTGAGCCTTTCCACTGCTTTGCCCACCAGGCAGAAGGGGCCAGGGATGTAAAAATGACTGTGGCAAGCACAAGCCAGTGACAGAAGTGACCCTCAACTGTCCTCCCTACGTGCCCAGCTTGGGGTGAGGCACACTACCCAGGTTCAAGTGTCTGTCACTGTATGTGTTCAAGTGTCTGTCACCTGCAGGACCGAAACTACACAAGCAATAGAGTGTTCCAGCCGGGCAGAGGACAGTGGCCGTCAGAGGCCCTCTAGCTTTTGATGTGCTTTAAAGAAAGGGCCACACTGCTGTGCTTTGAAACAGAGGAAAAAAGAGCTTCAGAAAAAGGGTTTGAAGGAGGCCTTGGGAATGACTACTCCAAGCTTCCAAGCATCACATCAACAATGGACCATGAAGTCCCAGTCCCTGGGATCTGAAACATGACAGGCCTCATTGAAGTGGTGATGGCCAGTGAAATTTCCTGACCATCCTATTCTCCAGGGACTCCTTCCCTCTCCCCCGGGTGTGTCTTTGTCCCCAGGCCACTCACAGTCCCAGAATCTCAGGGTGGCTCTTTGCTGCCCCCAAGGTTCAACCCTGACGACTAAGGACTACTGGCTGTATGGAGCGGACTGATGAGGTAGCTTCCCAACAGTAAGCAAAGCGCTCCGAGTAACAGGTGCAGCCCATGAGAAACCCGCGTGGGATTGTGGCTTTGGGGCCTGGACAGAGACTCTACCCGGGGCCAGTGCTCAATGTACGGGATCAGCATTCTCAGTCTGGTTTCCACTGCATCCCTCAGGAACTGGTCTGTCTTCCTCTTCCTGGAAGAGGGAAAAGAAAACAGTGTGTCTTTGGATCAGGGGCAGGGCGGGCACCACACTGTTTGCTCAGCCCTGGAGGAGGATGGCCCACCAGCTCCTCTCCATCAGCAGGCACAGGTGGAGTGCCAAGGGGCAGGAGGCTCAGTCCCATCAGAGCAACAGAGCTGCTCCACACTATTCTCCTTTGCCTCTGCTTGGATTGGCTTCCTGGGCACGGCTGGCGAAGCCCAGTCCTCAGCTGCCACCCTGCACAATAATGCCCTTGCACTCACTCTGCCTGGCCCAGCTGCACCAGTTTCTGTTCCTCTTCCAGCACACGGGTGAGCCGGGCGTTGCACTCAGTCACAAAATGCAGGATCAGCTCACTGCCATCGTTTCCAAACATGCTGGCCGCTGCACTGGAGAGACCCAGGGACTACAAAGGGGATAAGAAAACAGAAAGGTGGTGGGCAGGTGGGACGCATGCTGCCTGCTCAGCACAGTCGCCACACCTAGCAGCTGCTCCTCTTCTCTCTGGTGCCTGGCGAGCTGACCACCAGCAGTCCCTCTACCGTCTAAGTTCCCCTGCTGGGCACCAAGCAAGGAATCCATGTGTGGGGAACGGAGTCCACAGCAATGAGCTCAGGAATGGGGACATTTGGAACTAAGAGGCCACCTAGGATTTTGCCAGTACTGAGCTGCTGAGCTGCATTTCTTTGTGTGAAGGAAGATCACCAGGAAGAAAGCAAGGCTGAGATGCTGGAAGGGATCACTTTACTGCCTGGCATGTATTGGCTCCCTGCCCTTCACAATAGCGCCACCCAGTGAGTGTTGTTAGCAGCCACATTTTACCAGTAAGGACCTCAGACACATAAATTTGCTGCATGAAGTATTGGATTATTCTCGGATGCAAAGCTGCCCTTCTAGACTCATCTGGGGACGCAGGCTCTGGGGCCCACAAACCCCATTCCTGGCTCCCGTTCAGGCTCTGCCACAGGGTTATTAGTGGAGGCTGCAGGAGGAAGGGACTTGCTTCTTCTTGTTTACTTCCTGTCTGCATGTCATATATTTACTACTTTTTTTAAAATTGTCTATTTAAAAGGCAGGTTTAGAAAGAGAAAAAAGAGGAGGAAAAAGAGAGGAACAGAAACAAAGAGTTTTTCCATGTTTCACTCCCCAAATGGACTCGATGGCTGGAGGTAGTCTGATCCCAAGCCAGCAGTCAGGAGTTTCTTCCAGTCTCTCACTGGGTTCAGGGACCTAAGTCACTTGGCACATCCTCTGCTGCTTTCCTAGGTACATTAGCAGGGAGCTGGATCGTAACTGGAGCAGCTGGGACTTCAAGTAGTGTGTGTCCAAGTTGGTAACACGAGCGGCTTTACCTGTATATCACCATGATAGTCTTTGTTTACTTCTTGTCTGTCTGGCTGCAGTATCAGCCCAGCGATATGTCTTCACCCAGGAAAACAGTGGCTGACAACAGTGTGTAGTTTCCCGACACTTGGCGGAACTAGTTTCATCAAGTCACCACCTTTTTGCTGTCTTCCTAATCAGGCACCGCCTTCCAGGTCAGGTGCCAGCCCCAAAGGACAGTCCCTTTAAGCTCAGAGACACTACTGCAAACAGGGCAGTGCCCCTTCCTTGAGGGGAGGTCTGAGGGTCTCATCAGGGGACCCACCTGCAGCCCCTAGCTGGAACCAGTCCGACTCTCCCTCCTGTTTTTGGCCCTGGTGATGGAGCTGCTGGTTATAGCTGCTAGCTCCGCAGCACCCTTAGGGTGTTCTGTGTGCCTCTGCACCTGGCTAACAAGTCCTTGTACTAAACTTTCTATTCCCGTAACTGGTGTGGTTTCTGTCTTCTGACTCAACCCTGACCAACACACTCCCTGAAAAGCAATTCTGCTCCTTGGAATTTATCCTAAAGAAAAGAATTAGAAACGTACCCAAATGATGTTGTACAAACAAGTCTATAGCACCCCTGTGAAGATGTGCATACATCTAGTTAACCAAATGCTCAGTCTGAACAGATTTTTCCATATAATCCCATTATGTTTTTTCCCTCTACCCATTCCACCACTTTCTGTACTGAATCTTAAAGAGTTTTTGTCTCCTGACCTTTCCCAGCCTTGGGTCCATGAGACGACTGCATCTATTTCACAGAAAAACAAGAGCCACCCTCTGAGATGCCTGCAACATGCTTCGAGAAAATTGCCCTTAGCATTTTCTCCAACTGTGTGCTTGTTACACTGAAGGCCAGTCTTTTCATATGTTTCTAGAGTTCCTCATCCTTGCCTTTAAGAAGCTGCAGGCAGGGGCAGGCGTTCAGCCTAGTAATGAAGAAGCTGGCTAACATGTTACATCCCATATCAGAGCACCTGATTTGATTTCCAGCTCCGGCTTCTCACTAAGGCAGATCCTGGGAAGCAATGATGACAAATCAAAGTAACTGAATTCCTGCTGCCCCTGTGTGGCTCCTGGATTGAGTTCCTGGCTCCTGGTCTAGTCCCAACCACGATGGGCAATTGGGCAGTAAATCAGAGCATTCTGTCTGTCTGCTTCTCCAAATAAATAGTCCAACTTCTGTAAGAAGAAAAAGCAACCCCAGACTTCTGGTTTTGCCTATTTTCTCATCTAGCTTCACTCTCATTTCTGTTTCTATACTCTTCCCATCAGCATCCAGTCACACTCTCACTTCCCTCACATCTCCCCTGCCCAGTACACCCCAGGTCCCATCTACCCTTCACGGTCAAGTGCCTCTCCAGCTCCTCACCTGTACTCACACCTCCTCCCATTCCAAAGCATGTCTGACTCAGCACTCCGCCCAACACTACTGCTGTAATATCAGGGTTTCCCTCCTAGGTCCACTCTCCTACTGTGCCTCCAATATCAGGGTGCTCAAACTCCAACTCTTGAACTGTCACAGTTGCAGGTGGATCTAGAACACTCTCTCCCGTGACACTCTGGCCTGAGGAAATCTTGTTCCTTTCCCTAGTTTATCATCACATGCATATCCTGATAATGCCCAAGTGTAGTATTCAGTCCAGTTGTCCCCTCCAGTTCCAAACCTGTGTGCTTGATGCCTCCAATGAGTTGACTCAAAAATCCCTCCTACTCAGCAAGCTCAAGACTGTATCCATCTTCCCCTAAACCCTGTCCTCTTCGAATAGTCCCAGTTTTAGCAAATAACAGCCCTACATACCCACCTGCCCCTGGCCACTCTGGTGGTGCTATTCCATCACTCTCTCCCAGGTTCATCTACCACCAAATTTAGCAGGATAACCAGCTAAACAGTGTGGCTCTAGACCAGACCACCTTCTCCCTGCTGGATGATTGACGGGTGCCCCCAATGACTCTTGCTTCCTTCCAACCCATCTCTCATCCAGCAGCCAGAATGGACACAGGAAGTGCCAAACTTAATCTCGTGTCTTCAAGTACTCTTAGAGTAAAAGCCTAGCTCCTTGAGCTTGAGAGCTTTGCCTGATGCTGCTTCCACTGACATTTCTCATCTTAAGGCTTCTAACAGCAGGTGTCTTCCCTTTCTGCACCTGCCAGCTCTCCATTTGAACTTGACCACTCCCTTCTGCCACCAGAAAACCAGCCAAAGTCTATTCGTGCCTCATTTCTCAGCTCAAAGATTCTCTTCTATCCTGCCCCATGCTGGAGCAGGTACCTCCTGGTTTGTCTCAATGGCACCTTTGCTTGATAGTACACATCATGCATGCATTTGTTAATGTCACTAGATTGAAGTTCAACAGGGGCAGAGACCATTCTACCATGACTGCTACCATGCTGCCAGCATCTAGCACAGCATCTAATAAACACTGCTTGCTCAATAAACACTGACATCATAAATGAGTAATAATTTTTAAGGACGGACAGTATTAAAATGACAGCAAAATCTTTGATCATGAACGGTTTTATGTTCTTCTTTACATCTGCTTGTACTGTTTGAAGTTTTCTAAATGGGGCCTGGCGCAATAGTGTAGTGGTTAAAGTCCTCGCCTTGCAAGTGCCGGGATCCCACATGGTCGCCGGTTCTAATCCTGGCAGCCCTGCTTCCCATCCAGCTCCCAGCCTGTGGCCTGGGAAAGCAGTCGAGGATGGCCCAAGGCTTTGGGACCCTGCACCCTCGTAGGAGACCTGAAAGAGGCTCCAGGCTCCTGGCTTTGAATTGGCTCAGCTCTGGCCATTGTGGCTGCTTGGGGAGTGAACCATCAGATGGAAGATCTTCCTCTCTGTCTCTCCTCCTATCTGTATATCACCTTTCCAATAAAAATAAATAAATCTTAAAAAGAAAAAGCTTTCCAAATGAATACACAGCAGAGTCACAGATGACACAGACATGTCATTAATACGTCTGTTACTGTGTGCTCTTGGGAGAGGATGTAACAGAGGATTAAGAACATCAGCTGAATTTCATGGCACTGGATCAAACCAAAATTTGTAGTGATGGCATCCCATATGTTAGGTGATTGGAGACTTGCCTGTTCCACTTCTGATCCAGCTCCCTGCTAATGCACCTGGGAAAGCAAGGAAAGCAATAGAGGATGATCCCATACAGACCCTTGAAGAAGTTGATTTTGGACAGGTTAGCTGCAGCCATTGAGGCCATCTGGGAAGTGAACGAGTAGATCGAAGATATCGCTTTTTTTCTTTTCAAATAAACAAACAAATAAATCTTTAAAATAAAGTTAGTGGACCTGGCGTGATAGCCTAGTGGCTAAAGTCCTTGCCTTGAGCATGCCGTGATTCCATATGGGTGCTTCTTTTTCTTTTTTTTTTCTTAATTTGTATGGGCACTGGTTTGTACCCTGGTGCCCCACTTTCCTTCTGGCTCACTGCCTGTAGCCTGGGAAAGCAGCAGAGTATGGCCCAAAGCCGTTGTGGCCACTAGGGGAGTGAACCAGCAGGTGGCAGATCTTCCTCTCTGTCTCTCCTTCTTTTTATAAATCTGACTTTTCAATAAAAATAAATAAATCTTCCAAAAAAAAGTAAGTCAGTGTGAATCATAAACTGATGATGTGTGATCCATGTGTGTTCTTTTGGGATGCATAACAACCCAGTGCTTCTGGTGATCAGTGGTGCCTCAGGGTCAGTTCTGCTCAGACAACGCTTGCCTAGTAAGCTGCCTTTAGAACCTAATCCCCTGGTCCACTGTTTTCATATTTAAAAAAATAAACTCAATTTCCCACTCTACTGGAGAAAAAAACCAAAAATCACAGAAAACTCTTGTGGTCCCAAGAAGTGTGCAGCTGTGCTGGAGGCAGGTCCAGGGCGGGCTGGCCCTCTCTCCCCACGTACCTGGGCTCCCTGGGCAATGGCCTCTGCTGTCCACCCGTGGGCAGGCACGAACTCCAGGGCTGCAGTCAGGATGCGGTGCTGCAGCTGCTCCTCACTCTCATGGTCCTCGTCTTCCTCGCCACTCTGGTCTGTGTACCTGCAACAGGGGACAGAGGCCAGCCTGCTTAATCACTGCCTCATGCCCGTCACGCAGGATGGGCCTGAGCAGGCACAAGAGGAGTGGAAGCTCCCGGAAGTACATGCTGTGAGGTCACATGCCTTGGCGACATGGAGGCTTTGACGTGTCACCCTGCCTGTGCACAGGAAGAAGGGCCCAGGGAGTCGAGCACGTGTGATGCCCAGGCAGTGCTCCCACAGCCCTCGGAGTCCCCTGTGCTCAGTCCTCGGCATGCTGGGTTCACAGGGTTGTTTTTAGCTATATTTGCACCAGACTGTAAGTTTATAAGGCAGGGGCAGTAATTGTATTATTCATAAGGTTTGGTCCATAATAAAGCCTTACAAATTTTTTTTTTTTTTTGAGTGATTCTTTCCAGTCCTTAAGACCCATGCAGGTCTTTCATTTTTTTTTAAAGATTTATTTTATTTTTTTTTTTTAATTGGAAAGTCACATATACAGAAAAGACAAACACAGACAGCAGACCAGATTTATGGAGAAGACAGAGAAAGATCTTTCATCCACTGGCTCACTCCCCAAATGGCTGCAACAGCTGAAGCTGGGCCAATCTGAAGCCAGGAGTCATGTGCTTAACAGGTCTCCCATGCAGATACAGGGTCCCAAGCCTTTGGGCTGTCCTGCTTTCCCAGGCCACAAGCAGGGAGCTGGATGGGAAGCAGGGCCACTGGGATTAGAACGGGCAACCATGTGGGATCTCAGCATGTGTAAGGCGAGGACCTTAACCACTACACTATTGCGCTGGGTCCAAAAAGAATTAAATTTTTAAAAATACAAAAAAGGATGTGTGCTTTGAGTGACATTTTAAAAGTTATGTGAGAAGCAGGTTATGCAATGGCATGGAGTGTTATTGATATTATGTATATGCATACATTTATAAATGAAGCATGCTAAGAAAGTTACCAGGGTAAGAACCTGTGTGTGCACACACACACACACACACCCTTTCCATCCATGTTTTAGGGTCATTTTTGCTTTATTTTTGTGAACCACTTGTGCTGTCTAGGTGTTTTAGAAAGTACAGACACCACGGGAGTCAAACAATGTACAGCTAGCCTTGGAATCTGAGGGAGGGGAAGAGGCAGGTACAGGGGGCGTCACCCAGGCACACTCAGGACAGACTGGGTAGGGTTCTGTCACCTACCTGGGCGGTGAGCGAGTCGACTCTGGAGTGGGCTTCTCTGCCCCCGGTGCCTCTGGATGCTGAGAAAAGGATGGGGAAGGCTGCTGCCTTTGCTCTTCTGAAGACCTCAGCCCCACAGCAGAGGCCTGGAAGCCACGAGACAACAGGAGTGGGCGGCAGCGGGACACTAAAACAGAAATGGGGTTTGATCAGTCAGGGCTGTTGGCCAGTGAATGCCCAGTGAGAAACAGAAGGCAAGAAGCATGAGCAGGGCACAACCCTCCAGAACCATGGACCCAGTGTTGCGTCCCACAAACATCCCAGGCAACCTCAAAGCCCAGGATTTGATGTGCTGACAAAAGTAACGAGTCAGGGAACAGATCTGGCTGGTGTCTACCACCTGCTAGTCACATGGTAACAGGCAAACTGTTTCACTCCAACATGCAGAATTGGAAATCTGCCACTTTTGGGTAATAATCTCTATTTGCTCAATGGGCATGTTTTGATGTCTGAGCAAAAAAGTGAAAGTCATTGGGCCCAGCACAGGCTAAAGTCCTTGTCTTGAGCACACTGGATCCCATATGGGCACTGATTCTAATCCCGGCAGCCTCACTTTCCATCCAATTCACTGCTTGTGACCTGGGAAAGCAGTCAAGGACGGCCCAGAGCCTTGGGACCCTGCGCCCACGTGGGAAATCCAGATGAAGCTCCTGGCTCCTGGCTTCAGATCAGCTCAGCTCCGGCCATTGCGGTCACTGGGGGAGTGAATCATTAGACAGAAGATCTTCCTCTCTATCTCTCCTCCTCTCTATATATCTGGCTTTGCAATGAAAATAATTAAGTCTTTACAAAAAAAAAGTGAAAATGACTTGAAAATGCCAAGATGAGAGCAGGGCAGCAAGGGCACAGAGCGGGCGTTAGGGTGCAGGCCCGACCTCGTGGGGCTTACACAGCATCTCTGGGTATGCCACTAATGTCTGTGTTTGCAAAGTCACCATATGCCTCTTGCTTTCAGGGATGCTGACAAGTGTTTTCCTAAGCATAAACTCAAACTATTTGTTTCTGTCCCACATTTTATTATAAAACAGATAAGGAGAGCTACATACCCCCACAGGCTCCATCTCATCACCAGTCTTTACATACTGCCCACTTGCTTGCTGCGGGTCTTCACAGTCCTCATGCTGAACACTTTTACACATACACCCTGAATGGGGACTCAGTGTGCCCTGTTCCTGTGAGGGGCTATGGGCACACAGCAGGCTGCACGGCTCTTAAGTGTGTCACCCTGAGTTTGAGCCAATGCATACCTGTCCCGGTGCAGAGGGAGACCACCCCTGCCTGTCCAGAAAGCCCCACTTGCCCCTTCACAACCATTCCTCACCTACACTGCTTTTTCCCCACTGCTCAAGTTTTTCAACCCAGGTTTTTGCTTGTCTTAGTTTTGTGTGTCCTCAGATTTCATTTTTTAAAAAATGTGTTTTATATTTACTTGAAAGGCAGGTTTACAGAAGGCACAGACAGGAAGATCTTCTATCTGCTGGTTCATTCCCCAAATGGCCACATGGCTGGAGCTGGCTGATGTGAAACCAGAAGCTTCCTCCAAGTCTCCCACTTGGGTTCAGGGCCCAAGGACTTGAACCATCTTCTGTTGCTGCTGCCTTCCTAGGTCACAAGCAGAGAGCTAGATTGGAAATGGAGCACCTGGGACATGAGCCAGCACCGTTATGGAATGGCAGCGCCACAGGCAAAGGATTAGCTTCCTATACCACAGTGATGGCCCCTCAATGTACTTTTTCTAGACGGCATTTTTCACTTAGTATATTTTTGAGACTGATTATATTGTGCCAATCAGATCTGACAGAGGTTTCTTCTTTAACTCAAGCTAGGTTCTTTCGACTCCTTTTTCTTTTTTTTAAATATTTATTTTATTACTATTATTTTTTTATTGGAAAGTCATATATACACAGGAAAGCCAGAGAGGAAGATTTTCCATCTTTTGATTCACTCCCCAAGCAATTGCTGCTAGAGCTGCATCAATCCAAAGCCAGGAGCCCAGAGCCTCTTCTGGGTCTCCCAAAAGTGGTGAAGGATCCCAAGGTTTTGGGCTATCCTTGGCTGCTTTCCCAGGCTACAAGCAGGGAGGTGGATGGGAAGTGGGTTGCAGGGATTAGAACTGGGGCCCATATGGGATCCCAGCGCTTGCAAGATGAGTACTGTAGCTGCTAGGCTACAGCACAGGGCCTCTGCCTCCTTTTCCTAACAAGACTTACTTTGGCCCATAAAGAGTTAGTTGCTAAAATGACTCAAACCCCCTTAGAATTACTGCCTGAGAAAACTCAAGACCAGCAAAAAAAAAAAAAAATTTAACTGTTTCTGCTAACATTTGAGGACAAGATCTCTCTTCCTGTGGGAAGAAAACCCCAGCTTTGGTCAGGCCAGCTAGAGCACACAGTGAGATGTACAATCTCCTCTTTCCTTAACTTTCAGCCCTTCTCCCTCCACTCCTTCAAGTACCCAGACTTTTTCTAACAGGTACCTGCAAACTCCTCCAACTTTTACCCATTATAGTTTCCAGGCCACTTCCACATTGCAAAATGTATTTCTCATGCTATGCACACCTTTGGCTATTATAAATAAAGTTGCTATGAACACACTTCTCGTAAACTCACTTTTTGGCCAACTTTTTGGCAAACTCATGCATTCATTACTGTTGCGTAATACTTAACGCAGGGATCAATTTTACTAAAGATATTTAAATTGGTCTTTTGTCTTAAAAAAAATAAAGGATTCACCTTTTGCCAAAAAACAAAAACCCACAAAAAATACCACACAATAACTCAGGAAACACTGGTTTTAAAGGAAATAGAAGATGCATGTAAAAATAACAACATTTTTGTTACATGCACAGAAAAAACTAGAGGAAATATCCAAAAAATTTGGGAATTGGGGAGGTCGTGAAGAATGGTCGTGGATCCCAGCAGGGGAGAACCACAGGGGCGATGCCTACGTCCATGCATTCATGCAGCCATTCTATTTATGAAAGATGACAGCCGTTTTTCCACTGACGCAGTGATACAAAATTTCCTCTTTAAAACTCCATTTCTCAGAACTCACGCATAGAAGTAAAAATACGCAGAACACGGTAGCAAAGGTGGTAAGAGAATTGCACAGAATTAGTGCAGTGGTGGTGGGGAATGTCTGGCTTTAGGGAAATCACGGTTAGGTGCTTCAATCTTATCCAAGGATCCTGGCCCAGGCGTTTGGCGGAGGAGCCGAGACTGGGTCGCAAAGTCAGATCCGCAGCCGCCGAGCTGCGTGACCTTGGGCGCTCCCAACCCTCTCGAAGGCTCCGTTAGCTCCAAGATCCGGGGTTGACAAGTCCTGCTCTGTAGCTCTTGTCCCTCACAGCTCACGAATAAAGACCACAGCGGACCAAGGAGCTCGCGACGCCGGCGGGGGCCACCGCGCGGACGCCCTTGACCTCACCTTGCTCGCCGGCCGCCACGACGGCCTCTTTTCTCGTCCCCACACCTAGCCCCAGCCGCTTCACGCCTCCTCCCTGCTCCTCCCTTTCCCCGACTCAGCCTCCGGCTCACCCGGCAGGCACCGCAACTGTAGCAACCTCCAACCCGCCCGGCCCAGCACGCCGGACACTGCCGCCGCCATCTTGGAAACGGGCACGTCACTGGCGGTGACGCAATGAGCAGCGTCAAGGCCGCGGCGCCGCCACTTCCGCCCTCTTGACGTCGCTGAGCCGCCTCCTCTCGCGAGCGGCGGGACGCACGGAGCCGGTGGCTGCGGAGAATCCCGGAGCGAGATCAGACGGCAGGTGAGTGCGGTTGGGGTGACCTGAGAGCCCATCCTTTCGCTCAGGGCTTTCTTCCCGACTCACTTTGTAGCACATCCTCTGCTTTCCTATTCCCAGCCCCTCCCCATCGTGGCACTTTTGGCTGACTTGTACCCCAAGAATCGAGTGCGAGGTGGCTGGGACCGGGGCTCCCGACGCTGTGGCTCTCCAACCTCCTTTTGAGCTGCCTTATTTCTCGAACATCCGCTACCGAGTCCGGGACTCTAAGGAGGAAGATCCCCGAGCTGGGGCCAGAGAAAGCATGCTTTTTCCCGCAGCCACTGTGTGACCTTGGGCCCCCGCTCCTCTGACGTTCGGATCTCCGAAGATCCAGGGGGGCTGCTGTGGCCCACCCGTTGTACTTTTGAGTCCCCAAGATGTGAGAGTTGAGTCCTCCCAGACTTGGCAAGGTCGAGATGCCCCGGGGAATTGAGTCACTCGCTTTGTTTTCTCTCCAGGCGTCTTCCTTTAACAAGCGCCCTGGCCTGTGGGTAGGGGAGTTTGGAAAAGGCCGATGCTGTGCATTCTGTGATTTCTGAGTGCCCAAGCTCCGAGGGCTGGAGCAGGACACGGTGTGACCCCTGAGCTGAAACACTAATGCAGGGCCCCTCCTTGAGGGTGGCTGGGGTGGCATCAGAGAAAGAGTGATGGGGAGAAGCTATGTGGCGTTCAGAAGTCATTGCTGACAGGAGATTGTCATTCTGTAGATTTGGTGTGTTTGCCACCAGCCTCTGGCTTTGTAACGGGTGGGCGTTTTGTTTTGCACACTTGTTCGGAACTGTCTTTTCTAAACATCCTGCTCCACACTGTTTGAGTGTGGTGGAAACATCCTCGACCAGGAGTCTTCCCCACAAGATGTTAAAATGCCAGATGCACACTGCTGGACAGATTTGAAGGCCAAGGGAAGGACCCACTGGCTCACAGGATTTTTAAAAAAAATAAGCAAGTGCCTCTACAGAAGGGATTCCCAGGCCTTGGCTTTGCTGCCTACCAGGGGCAGTTTGTAAGAACTGTGGGCCTGGGTGTGTGGGGAGAGGTGCCTCGCCAGCAAGGTCAGGAACGTGACCCTGGCTTCTCCTGCACCTCTCTATAGTTAAGAAACTGGGCCCTGAGTCACAGCTTCTAGTATGTGACAGTTGCCAGCAACTTTGTCCTAGTATGTGACGTAGGTGTCAACAACTTTGTCCTGATAGATTTTTATTTTTAAAGATGGATTCACACACAACCACAACAGATCAGAGGAAGGAAAGCTTCACACTGTGGCTCTCAGCTATTTAAAAGTTTTGTTTGCTCTTTTATTTGGAAAATGCTGGCTGAGAATCGGTGCCTTTGCCTGCTCCTTGAGGGTCAATGTATAACGAATGAGTTTTATGAGCCCCTGCTCCCATGAGAAGAGCATTTGGGGGGAACACTGAAAGCAAAGCACATGTGCTTGCCCAACTTACAGCCGCAGTCCCACTCTGACACTGTCTAGGATGCTCCCGTGTGCAGTTCTTACCCTGTAGAGCTAACGAGTTCCCTGGGTGGTCATCCTTAGAGGCTGACCGAACAGGAGGCAAATATGCCAAAGAGAGCAGATGGCCAAAGTTCTGGAAAATCATCCTTTTGCTGGGTCTTATGGTCAGGTTCAGGTAATATAGGCCGGGGGTGGGGGGTTCTGTGTGAAGTTACTGGGTAAAAAGAAAGGCCTGCAAGAGGGAAATTGCATAGAATTTTTGCAGAATAGGGAGTGGAGGCAGATGACAGCTGGAGACCCTGATTCTAGAGGGCTTAGACATTTTGACTTTGCTTTAGAAAATAAAATTATTAGTGACTGTTCTGGGAAAGGAGTGAAAGGTGAAGGTCCCATCATATTTACAGGATGTTTCTGGATGACAGGAATGTTTTCTAGGCACAGAGGAGAGAGCCCTTTGAAAAGAACATTTTCAAAGAAGGTCGAGTGCACATGGCTTACACTGAGCACCCGAGAGACTGGTGGCCATCACAGCCGCAGTCTGCTGGTGCCAGACACACCCCTGCCTGACCCTTCTGCCACCGCTTCTGCCTTGCTTTCATTTGCAGTTGGGAACTTGGTGGCATGAATGTTTCCCAAAGCAAGGAGAAGCTGAGCAGAGTACTGTCTGTTGACCTCATTTCATTGTTAGCACATTTCACACCTGAGTATCATGTGGAAGAGAAGTTGACCTGTAGAGGGAAATTTCTGCAGCTAAAGGCATGGATGTGAGTTAAAACTGCAGCTCTCTTTCTGTGCCTAACACGGTGTGCCTTGAGCAAAGTCACAGTTTCTTGACTGTAAAGTAGAAATGGTATCTGGTGTCAGGCTGTCCTCAAGTTTCTTTGAAATAATATACGTAAGGTGCTTTATGCAGCCTGGCTGTCATTAAATGTTAACACCAGTAGGCACTCTGGAGCACTGCAGATACAGTGGAATTAGATTTCACATCTTGATAAAAGTGGAAATCAACACTCACACTACAAAATTTAAACGGAGCTTGTGGTTGGGTTATGTCTGCCAAAGTTACTTGCCGTCTTTGCTGAGTCATGCTTCTGCTTAATTAATGCCCTGTGTGTTTTCATAGTCTTTTCTTTTTGCCTGGAGCCTGCTTACTTGACTCAAACCCTTTTTCCTTGACTGTCAAGTTAGCATTCTCTCCACTTGCCTGGATGGCAGTGGAAGCAAGGATTAAGAAGGCCTTGAAATGGTAGGTTCATTCATTCATTCATTTGTTCATGCTCTAGCATCTGCAGCAGCATGTCTGATGCCGTCAGCATTCGATGGTGGGAGTTGGACGTAGATTGGGTTTGTGGTCATATCTGATGAGACTTTGTGAATTAGATGACGCTTTCGTCTTGGCTCAGTTTTGGTTCTCTTTTGCCCCCGTTGACTCTAGGTCCATCAGCACCACAACAATGGCAGACTTTGGCATATCGGCTGGCCAGTTTGTGGCTGTGGTGTGGGATAAGTCATCTCCGGTGGAAGCTCTGAAAGAGCTGGTAGACAAGCTTCATGTGTTAACTGGCAGCGAGGGGCAGGTGTCTGTGGAGAACATCAACCAGCTGTTACAGTGTGAGTACCAGCCATGCTATCTTTTTTTTTTTAAAGATTTATTTATTTATTGGAAAGTCAGATATACAGAGAGGAGGAGAGACAGAGAGGAAGATCTTCTGTCTGATAATTCACTCCCCAAGTGAGCACAACGGCCGATGCTATGCCGATCCGAAGCCAGGATCCAGGAACTTCTTCCGGGTATCCCATACGGCTGGAGGGTCCCAAAGCTTTGGGCTGTCCTTGACTGCTTTCCCAGGCCACAAACAGGGAGCTGGATGGGAAGTGGAGCTGCCGGGATTAGAACCGGCACCCATATGGGATCCTGGCGTGTTCAAGGCGAGGTCTTTAGCCACTAGGCTGCACTACTGGGCCCCAGCCATGCTATCTTGATGGGCCTGTCAGGGGTGTCTAATTCCTTGGAAATTCCTTTGTCTGAGGTGGCATGTGAGAGAGGTGGTCAGGCACTCCGCTCAGTAGCAACTGAGAGACAGCAGACGTAAAGTGTGTGAAGTGTGTGATTGTGTCTTAGTAGCTATTCCATAGTTTTGTTTTTTAACATATATATATATATATATACACACACATATATAAAAGATTTATTTTTATTGAAAAAGCAGATCAGATTTACAGAGAGAAGAGGAAACAGAAAGCTCTTCCATCTGCTGGTTCACTCCCCAGATGGATTATAATAACCAGAGCTGAGCTGATCCACGGCTAGGAACCAGGAACTTCTGGGTCTCCCTTTTGGGTGCAGGGTCCCAAGGCTTTGGGCCATCCTCCACTGCTTTCCCAGGCCATAAGCAGGAAGCTGGATGGGAAGTGGAGTATCCAAGACACGAATCAGCACCTATATGGAATCCCAGCTCCTGGCAAGGCGAGGTTTTAGCCGTTGAGCCATGCATTGTGCCCCATAGTTGTACCTTTTTTTACTGAAGTTCATTCTTCATCCAGCTGCTCTTTTCTTTCTTTTCTTTTCTTTTTTTTTTTTTTACTGCTTTCCCTGAGCACGGTAAGTCAGACTGAGGGCGAGCTAACAGGCTGCATGTCCCTGTATGCTAGCGCTATAGTGTTGTGTACTGAATGGGCAGATTGGTGTGAGTCCTGCAGCCATAGCAGGGGCCTGGGGGCATGGGGGACTCATGTGTCTGCTGATGTGCATCTCCCTTCCTTGCAGCTGCCCACAAGGAATCCAGCTTTGACGTGATTCTGTCGGGAGTAGTCCCGGGCAGCAGCATGCTGCACACTGCTGAGATTTTGGCCGAGATGGCCCGGATCCTTCGGCCCGGGGGATGCCTCTTCCTAAAGGAGCCAGTAGAGACGGCCGGAGGTACGGACACCTGCACTGGGAAGGCTGGCACTTGGCAGGGGCCCGACCTGGGTATGCCTGCCGGATTCCCTGTTGGTTGAAGAACCCATACTCCTGCAACAGAACCATCTCCTTAGGAACACACTATTAAAATCTGAAGAAGTGCTGATCTGTGGCTGACTGAGTTAGTAGTAGAAGGAAGCTCCCATGTGAAAGTGACTGGGCCCTTCAGCGGGTAAACAGTTACATGTCAGTGTATCATTAACACAGAAACTGGTGGCAGCAATGGCAAGGAGAGAACTCCTGATCCATGCAACTGCAGTGTGCCTGGTGGAAAACCAGCCCAGCTCCATGCTTCCCCCATGCAAAATTCCTTACTCTTGAAGTGACAGAGCGGTGGTGGTGGGGCTCAGATCAATGGTTGCAGGGTTAGGAAGGGGAGGGAGGGAGTGTGTGGCTGTGAAGGAGAATAGGCAGTGCCT